TACCTGTACAGGTCCTTGGCCACCGCTGTCTCATTTCTTGCATAGCCCTGGTCATTCTTGGTAAAGCTAAACCCTGTACCAACCTACAGGTGCAGCAAAGAACAAGTAAGACAATGTCAGTTACCTGGTACAATACACAAAATAGCATTAATGAAAGACACATGAGTTGTTGTTAGACTTACTGGATTGTCTATGTAGAGCATTGAATACTTGGTAGTCCAGGAATACTTCCGCGGCAACACTAACAATGGTCCAGATACAAAAAGAAAATCACAGGTTTTGGAAACAGTTTGCTATTAAACTACCAGTGACTGGTACCAGTGAAAAAACCACCAGATGGGATTCGCAGCCCAGAATTTTCCAGAATTTCATTTTAAACTGGGCTTTAGGTTCTAGTACCGGTATATCAGTACTCCATATTTTGCACCTGGAAGCTGCTGTATCTGGGGCAGTCAGAGGCAACTTAAACTTCATAGATGAATAAACAATTAGTGATGTTAAGCAAGTACGACAAGGGTAAGGAAAAAAAATCAATTTCCGTCTTAAAGACAGGCACTTGCTCAGTTGAATGTTTATGCCATGACATCAGTTGGAAGGACCATATGGACCATCTCAAACATTTTAAACTTCACTCGTAAACATTTTCAGGTACAATTGGGAAGGATTAAAGGGGTGGGGCTTTGTTTTTGGGGGGATGGAGGAGCTATAATGCCAATTTCAGAACTGATCACACTTCATTATCAATTAAAAAAAAATTAAGCCGTGACAAGTATTGCCCTCTCTACCCTGAGGTCTTGAGTTTTTTAAACCTTGGGTACAGAGATACATGTACGTACATTTTAAGTCCTTTGTCACTGAAAACGGGCCATGCTCCACAAACAGGCCAAACAGGGATGTGCCTCCTGGGCCTCCTTGTAACCATAGCAACACTGGAGCATGCTCCGGATTTAACTGCAGAGGAGAAGGGTGACAGAAAAACAACATGTAAATGGATGTACAATGACTGTACCTCACCCTGTTACCATGGTGATAATGTCACAGTGGATAGGGTTGCACGCGTGAAAGCAATAGCGAACAGTGGATTAATTGTCTCCAGAAAATGTGACAGAAGTTTTCACTGATAAAAGACCAAACCTAACGTACAGAATCTAGACAATGTCATTCCTGTGGTAGCACTTAAGACATGATTTAAGAGTCACAGTCACAACACCCTATTCACCCCTTGGTATTATTCTAGCTGAAAGTCTTAACCTCCGAAGAAAGCATGATATACCAGCCAACCTTTGATATACCTGAGTCCCCTGTATGAATGGCCCAAAAGTCACAAATAATCAATACATGTGCGGTAGTTCTTACTTACATTGGCCTCCGATTTTTCCACACTCCAGGCAGCAGCCGTGGAGCAATTTTTGCTACCAAAAGGGGGCTGTGCACAGTGGTCAAGCCCATGCCAAATTCAACAATCTGTCCACCTCCATAAACTGCTGGCACTCTGTGCCTCTGTTTGAAACCCTGGAGAATCAGCATGTAGATCTAAACTCCAACTGGAGGTCAGCCGTAGCTGTGTACACAAATGACCTGATGCAGCTTACATGACTTCCAGCATGAAGTGGTTTATGACAAGTCTGAGAGCTTTGCACGAGCCTCGCACAAATAAGATTGGCTTTTCACTCCAACTGTCAGATATTTCAACATTCACCTCAACTATCACACTCCTCGCCCTAACCTAATCTTCCCTAAGAAAGCTCTTTGAATCCTCTCAAAATCTTCCCATGCACTAAAACCATTAAAACAACACCCTGGTGAAGTAATCAAGACCGAGCTGAACAGCTTGAACCAGGTACATTTTGGGAAAAATATAAATTGAATGCATTTTTTCAAATTGGCTTTTTTTCACTTCTTTTATCTTTTTTTAGTCCTTTAATCTCAGAGTGGGTTCCTGTTACAAGTACCCACGTACAGCCTACCTGTTTTGTTGTACAGGGTACGTGGTTCCCAAATACATGTACACTGTACCACCTCAAAAGCAAACCCCCAAATGTAAACCTGTGGAGTTTTACAGGGTCTCGGATGAACACTTTATATACAGTGTTATGAATATACCTGTCCGTCGGTGTAAAGACAAAATCCATCGTTAAAATAAACCCAAAGAAGTTGATGTGCTCTCATGAAACGCAAAAAACCTGGATCAGGCATAATTGCCAATAAGAGAAAGTGCTTGCCAGAGTAACCTTTTGTCCCCAATGCATTATGGAACTGAATGGGTGCTTTAAAGAACACAATAGATGAGGCCGCACTCATGTTTGACATTTTAAATATTGAAACAGATACATTTACCTCCATTTTTTAAGGGGAATTAAGTGCGTGCGTCACAAACTGTGTGAAAAAAAATTATTCAGAGCAAACTAATGATTCAGTTTTGATACTGATAACAATGTAAGCAGACACCGTGCATATCCCATGCTCAGTTAGTTCTCGAAAGCAGACTGGGTGATACAGAGACAAAATGAAATTCACCAGAGTCATGATATTTGCCCTGACAGTGATCATTCTGGTGGTTGTAGCAGTGGGCATGGACACCTGCCCTTCATCAATTACTGTACAGGCACCTTGTCCCCCATCATGGCAGTCATGGCGACACTCTTGCTATCGTTTCACTGATGAGCCAGCTAACTGGGATCAGTCCAAGTTGGCCTGTCAGACCATGGGAGGCAAGATGGCTGCCCCATATTCACAAGAGGAAAATGAAGTCATAGTGAGGATGGCCCAAAGACAGAATATTAACCATCTATGGATAGGATGCAATGACAGAGAGAAAGAAGGAACCTGGGTGTGTGAAGGACAAGGGAGGGGTGAGCCATACTTCAACTGGCAGCCAGGAGAGCCAAATGGTCATGGTACTGAAAACTGTATTGAATTCTACCAACCATATTACGGAGGTGGTTCCTTAAATGACAATAATTGTAACATCTTATTCAGAGCTATCTGTGTACGCCTACGACGACAAACCAGCTGCCTGCATTGTCCAATTCAACCAGCATGTGGTTATCAACCACACCGAGCCCGTCACTACTGCTTTGCCACAGACACCGATGGACAGCTTCTCAACTCTTGCCTCGTTGATCACGTCATCAGAAAGTTCGTTACCATGAGCAACCCCAGCTGTACCTCGGCCTGCATCATAGAGCCTGCATGTTTATCCTTCAACATCAAGTACAACGACGAAGGGCAGAAAATCTGTCAACTCAACAATGCAACTCACTGTGATGATCCTGATAACTTTCAAGACATCCGTTCTTTTTGCTTGTACGCTCAAGAGTGTGTCAACTAGCCGAGAACAAACAGGCAAGCTTTTCTCAATCTTTGTGTACAAAACCTCAATTGCACTACTTAAAAAAGTTTAAGACCATGTTTTATTTTGTGTATACTTTTTTAAAAGAGATATTTTACTGCTGAAAATGTGCATTTGATGTTTTGGAACATTTTAAAAATGTTTCATTCCAATGAGAACACCATCTAGACAAAGCAACAAAAATGAATGAAGCAGACTCCACTCATTGCTTGGAAAAAAATTACAAGTTACCGGTAAGAAAAGAGTGGTCCTTAACTTTTTTTGAGTAGTGTACATTCTAATCCCTTCCAATTTCAAAACAGGAGGGGGTATAATTTCCAGAAGAAAAATAATTCAAAAATCAATTATAAAGCATCCATTATTCCAATGGTGTATTCCTTCATAATATGAAAAGCAACTTTATTGCTCTTCATGCTAAATTAAGCTTGACAAACTTGACAAACCATGACAATGATTGAAAATTTTCTGTAATAATTTAGCAATGTGCACCATTCAGTGATCAGTAATTCCATGTCTTCAATCCCAAAACAACTGTAACATACAGGGACACACAGAGAAAAGTACATGTATGCCTTGTCTGTGTAGTTGGCCATTGCAATCCGAGAGAGCAGAGCCTTACTTGTTTATCACATCTGCTGAGTTCCACTCTGCCAACTAGTCTGTGTGGGTATTCAAGCCACCTAGATGACAGTAAACCACAGATGAAGGTTTCGTAGTCAGTTTTGGTGCCTCATTGTCTCAACCCCAAATTGTTTGACCTATGCCTTATACATACCTTTACATGTATTCTTTTTTCCCCTTTGTTTTTCTCAAATTCTGGGGAGGGGGGTGGAATTTCTAAGAGAGAGTGTGTGCCCCCCCTCATCATTTTGCTGGGTCCCTGCTACAGAATAATCCCCAGAAACCACCTACATACACCTACACACAACTAACATGTCTCGTGCATTCTCACACTTGGGAGGAATGTGCATTCAAAACAACCACTTGGTGGAAGATGAACTTCAGTGTTCAATGTTTGCTCAATGTCAGGGGCGGATTCTGGCGGGGCAGGGGGGCATTGAGGGTGAACATCCCCCCTTCCCCCCAAAATAATAAAAACTAAGAAAAAGACGGAGAGATAAGGAAAAAAGAGGGGTCATACTGTAAAAGTCTCTCAAAATTGTACTCGAAAATTGCCTTTAAAGTCATCTGCTTTGCATTAAAAACTCAATCTCAACCAAACTGGGACACTCTGCTTGATGTACAGCTCAGTAATTTCCATCATTGTGCAGTGCTACACATATCCAAACACTGCCCGGGCTTTCTCTGCCAATTTCAACGCACTTGCGAATTTGTGCAGAATTAAAACTTTGCTCATGCTTGGATTTGAATTCTTCTTTAAATCACTGAATCACATTCAGTTTTGTATTCTACAAACACACTGGTTTGGTTTGGTCATTCCATTTTACATGCTAGTATTTGAGAGTTCATTTTCACCATCTGTAAAATTAATTTATGAGGGGTGTAAGAAAAAATTCAGTGTCGTCAGAGCACACACCCTTTTAATTTCTGCAAGGTTTTCTTTTGTTCACAGTTAATTTACATGTATTTGAAACATTTTGCTCTCAATAAGCCTTTTGCGAGTTAACTTTGACCCAAATCTGGTACACTGAGTTCTTTAAACTCATGTAAACGTAACAACTTGAATTCTCCTTATTAAAACCACTGTTGATATACCTTGTGATTTTGGGCAAGCTTTTGCTTAGTGACATAAGAGGGATGCCTTGCAACAATACACTGTTCTCAATGGATAAGAAGGGCACAAAGGAACCAGTCCATTCCAGAGATGGTGGTCGCTATGCAAAAGTTTGCCCCGAATCACGAGGTATAGCAACAGTGTCTTTTATAGTCTTGGGAATTCAAATCATTATGTTTATGTGCAATCAGATAACTCAGTGTACCAGATTTTATTCAAATTTATCGGGATTCTTAGCCAATCCGAGTGTTCCATCCAATTTTGGTAGCAAGCCCCATATGTTATGCACACAAATGACTTATTCAGATGTTATACATGTATGGCCAATCTGATAAGGGCTTGACATGTTCACAATAGATGATACTCAGGACTGTTCCATTTTGTGCAGCACACTGAGGCTCATGGGTAATTTAGCAAGTCTCATAAATGTACAGTTAGAAGAGACATTCGACGTACCTACATATATACGACCTTACTCTAATTGCCGAATTAGCCTGAAAGCCTCCCATTTGACAGACTACTGGCCAATTGGAATGGCTGAGCTGTCTACTAGGCAGTTTAATGGGCACAGACAAAACCTAATTGGCCTACATGTAATGAACTGGTAACGGCCACAGATACAGTTTGTAAGCCTTAATGTCTCAGCCATTTCCGTGACTTATGGAATTCCATAAATGAAAACAATGTGAAATGCAGTATCCTTCCAGGTACTGAATGGCTTGGCTTTGCACTACATCTACCCCATCAATCATTCTGGCCCTCTGGTTTGCAACTGTATGATTAAGATACGGTTAAAGCACTGGATGCTATATGTGGTTACTAAGCCTACACATTTCTGTACGGTTCACCTTTACTTTTGTGGGGTGTTACTGGGAGGATAGGCCAAATTGTGTGGACTGGCTGAATGTGTTTCCACAGACAATTAATGACGACCATTGTTCTCAGAGGACCACAATCTCACACCACCTAACTTCTTCGCTAACTCAATACACCTCTGGCTTCAACTGTAACCATGAAAAAAATCTACAGAGTTATCGCTGCTGTGATACTGAGTTCTGTGGTGACTGCAGTAGTGGGCACAGACACCTGCTCCTCATCAGCCACTGCAGCTTGCCCACCGTCATGGCAACCATGGGGGAATTCTTGCTATCGATTCACTGAAGAGAAGGCTAACTGGAATCAGTCCAAGTTGGCTTGCCAGACCATGGGAGGCAAGATGGCCGTTCCATATTCTCGGGAGGAAAATGAGTTCATGATAAAGATGGCCCAAAGGGGAAATATCCCCCTTTTCTGGATTGGATGCACCAACACTAAAGGAGAAGGAACCTGGGTGTGTGAAGGACAAGGGGCAGGTGAGCCATTCTTTGACTGGATGCCAAACCGACCAAACAAGAACCACAAAAAAATAAAATGTTTTATTGCTAATACTACCTACAAAGGAACAGGAGACCAGAATGACATTCGATGTTGCAGGAGGAAAAGAGCTTTATGTACCTTTCCTCCTTGCACTCAAGCCCATCATTACTGCTTTGCTACAGACAACAGTAGACAGCTTCTCAAGAACTCCTGCCTCCTCAATCACGTCATCAGAGAGTTTATGACTAGGAGCAACCTGAAGTGTGCGTCAGCTTGCATCCAGGAGCCCGTATGTCGCTCCTTCAACATCAGGCACAATGACACAGGACAGAAAGTCTGTCAACTCAACAATGCAACTCGCCGGGACGACCCAGCTCAGTTTCAAGATGTGGCTTCTTTCTGCCTCTATGCCCACGAGTGTGGAAACTAGTCAAGAAGAAAACAGGCAAGATTTCCTCCATTATTTCCAATTCAAAACTCAAAATAATCCTTCCGAACCTAGCATTCTAAGTAACCATGGTTCAGTTTATGTTAAACTTTCTCCCAGGTGACTTACATGTGTGACTATGTAGATCCTGCTGGAGCAGGGTGTGGGAAGGCAACGGCAGTATAGGGGAGGGTGGGGAGAGGCAACGGCAGTATAAGGGAGGGAGGGGAGAGGCAACGGCAGTATAAGGGAGGGAGGGGAGAGGTAACGGCAGTATAAGGGAGGGAGGGGAGAGGTAACGGGAGTATAAGGGAGGGTGGGGAGAGGCAATGGCAGTATAAGGGTCTCTGTTTTTTTAGGGGTTTCAAAGTGTGACACACAGGCCAAAATTTGAACACTTCTTTTGTGCCCATAGTTAGCTGCTTTGCATTTCATAACACATGATGATTACATAAAGTTTTGTGTGTAGCATAAAAGTGGAAACACTTAAAACACATAGTTTGCCCAAGACTTTTGTGCTCACCTGTTATCCGTAACATGAGACACAAATGCTACTTGTAACAATTAGTGTGGTAGTACTCTTATTCCTCAAGTACCATTTTCAGAGTCCTGTGAAGTACTCGTACTTGAAGAAACATACTCGGACTGCAAAATACTCAGAAGCAAACTATACCCGAGCATCAAGGTACTCTATTATCAGTACTCGAATAAAAGATCCTTTAACTTACCACGGCCATTGAAATACGATACAAAAAAAATCGACCCTCGCAAACCAATGGTCGGTACAGTCCGACAAACAGAGCCTAATACTAGAATGTGGAACATTTACATATAATGGTACAACATCTGTAGGCTTACTAGCCAAGCACATTTGCAAAATGCTGGGTTATTGGGCTTCCTGTTTATTCCACAACACAAACCACTATCATGGGAAGTGGCTGGCATGCCTGAAAAGAGGGGGTTGTCACATTGAATTGCATTATACACTGCACTGACAGATCGAAGTACCACGAAAGGCACCTTGAACCCAAGACTAGGGTGTAAGATGGTCTCTTGATTATCTTGGGTGTTGCTAGTCTGGTACCTATACCTGGAAAATTCGGATGACGCATCTGGCGTATAGAAAAACACAGGCATCAGAATAAGAACCCAGCAAGCAGACTTCACCATGCACGTTGTGCGTGCAGTATGAATATGTGTTGTAACCGACGGCGAGTATATGCCAAGTACGCGTGCGTGTACATTTTCATGTACTGTAAATGTACATTGCCATGTGTAAGCCCACGTTGCCTGCTGCTCCTTCCCTAATGTTGACTTTCGGCTTCTGAATCTTTGAAACTGCTGGTGACATACAAGTACATACAATGTAGCTATTATACAATCACGTCATCTGTATTGACATTAGTAAAGTTTGGTCTCAAAGACAGAGAGTACAAAATGAAATTAAACGCCACGGCACAGCTTGTTTGTTAGACAAACTAGAAGTACTCCTATGTACAAGTACTTGTACCTGAAAACCAGTACTTGTGCCGAGCTGCCAAAGTACTCAGACTTTCATGTACTTGGAAATCCAAGTACTCGGCAGTATTCTGTACTCGGGAAAAAAGTACTCGACTACAACACTGGTGACAATGCACAATCGTAAATGAAGTACTCAAAATGGCCTAATTTCTGGTTGATTCCATCTTTTCTGCTGAAGTTGCACGAAAAACTTCCCTGAAGAGGGAATGAGTTTTGATTTGTCACCACACATACCCCACCCCATGGGGGGGGACCCACTGTATACATGTCATTTATTTGCCTGTGCGCAAGCACTCTGCCACTTCCTTTGTAAATGATCTGCAATTCTTGCCAGTGCCGGTCTGTCTCCCAGCATCCCATGTGACCAGCAGCCAGCCACTATGAGGCATGGTTGAGCTATGGGATTTTTTTTCAATGCCGCTGGTGCTGTGTAAACTTTGCTGATGCCCAGCTGCTGACTGGCTGTCGCACTGTCATTAAAATTGATTGGATATATATTTTGCATCAACACGACTAATTGAACTGGTAATGGCCACAGATGCAAACCAGCAGTAATAAACAAGACTTAATGCCTCAAGTGTTTTACTTGATTCCATAATGAGGACGACAAGAAATGTAGCCTGGTTCCGGAATATGGATAGTTTGGTTTTTCATTAAATACCCACACACGTCAAGCACTCGGTTCCTTTTGCCCATGGATTCGTTTCCTACATGTAATGAACTATAATGATTAATTTTCAGCTGCTGGTAATTGTTGAGCAGTTTGCATCTTTGGGAAGTTTGTGGAACAAAAAGGCCCAGTAATGTGGTTCAGCTGCAAGGGTAAAGTAAGTAATAACTAAGCATGGCTGTGTTTTCACATGAAATTACTCTGAGGACTAAAAAAAACGGTTGTACTCAACATAAACAAAAATATTCACAAGCTTAGCATTGCTACTCTCAGCCAACCCGTTGCTTGACACAAGATGAGATTCTACCCAGTCACAGCTGTTTTCAGGCCGATGAGCTTCTTGGGTCCTATAATAGTAGGCGCAGACATGTGCCCTTCACCAGTCATTGTATCTTGCCCATTTTCATGGCATTGATGGGGACACTCTTGCTATCACTTCACTGGCGAGCCAGCAGACTGGAATGAGTCCAAGTTGGCTTGTCCGTGGAGGAAGGACAAGGCTCCCTCCATGGCTTCTCAGAGCATGGGAGGCAAGATACTGTTCCATAGTCACAGAAGGAGAATGAGTTCATAATGATGATGGCCCAAAGGGAGAATATCACCCGTTTCTGGGTTGGACGCAGTGAAGGCGAAGGGATCTGGGTGGGTGTGGCAAAAGAAACAGTGCTGTGCTTCCGTGAGGTCCTCCTTACAGCAGAATGGGAGTCTGTGGTAGGAAACAACAAACTTTGTGCATCCGTCAGTTTAAGTGCATAATCCCATCACTACTGCTTCGCCACAGACACCAACGGACGGCTTGTCAACTCTCGCCTCGTCAATCATGTCATCAGAGAGTTTGTTACCAAAAGTAACCTCAGCTGCACCTCATCAGCCTGCATGTCACTTCATCAACATTAAACACACTGAACAAGGACAGAAAATCAGATAACTAGATGAGACTTGCCATGACAACTGGGACAAATTTCAAGATGTCAGTTCTTTCAGCACGTACGCTCATGAATGTATCAACCAGCCAAGAACAAACACGCAAGACTTCCCCCATCATTTCTATTTTCAACCACAATAATCCAAACACTGACTCCATTATATTTAGGTTAGAGCAACTGGATTTCCTCTCTTGAACCATTTGATCTAACACAGAACACTAACGAGGACCAAATTTCAAACCAATCAGAAATGCAATTTTATACAACGGGGGGGAGAATTTTTCCGCACGTTGTTATAAAGAAATGGTAAATACATGTAATGTACATATGAAACTCTACTTTGGCTTTAAAACAAAGAAAATCAAAATTGTAAAAAACAGTGCTCCGACGGAAGAAGACAAGTGAGCTCAACTGGACAATAAAAATCCCTGCAAAAACCTGCAAAATATCAGAAACATAAAAATGCTGCATGCAAAACTCTGATTAAAGTATGAAAAGATGAAGATAAAAAGGTGTGTACTCAGCTTCAGTCCTGAACAGTCTTAAAAGATAAGGGGAAATTATTGTGATAAAATAAACATGAATGTTACTACTTTCTTTTCAATGTCTGCAAGACTTCAAGCGGCACGCTCACAAGAAATGTTGCAAATCTTTTGTCCGGGACATATGCAAACTACTGCACTGAATGTACATAAAATAAAAGTAACTTCTCCAGGGCTCCTATTTGGTATTTAGTTTTTCTCTGATCTTTCATTGTTTGCTATGAAATCCCTTTCTGGCATTGCAACTCACTCTGAGACCCTGCTGCTTACTGCAAGTGAAAAATTCTGTGCTTACGGCAAGCGTAATTCACGGGTTAGCGAGGAATTTTGGCTTGTGCATATACATCCCGTAACTAAGGATTCTGTGCTTAAAGAATTGTTCTGCTTGCGCGGTTAGTGCAGATTATAAGCGCGGAATTCTGCTGTAAGCAGCGCCATGAAATTTGGGCCCTGAACACGCACTAAATAAATACTTCCCTGGCCGTTTAACACTGCTGATGAGATGAATACAAACCGTCACACCTGAATAATCCGTGGATTTTGATTGATGCAAGCAAACTGTCCATTTCCTATATATTGCTTTCAATATGCATTGTGTTTTTGAGCAATGAATTATGGTAGTGTCATCGGCAGTGGGACTGTACTTTTTATATACGGGGAAAACTGCTTAATTAACTCCCCACTCTATGAATGCAAGGCTCATTTTGGCTGAGAGTTTCTGATGCTAGACAGTGCATGGAGAGAGAGAGTCGAATCTCCTTCCTTACAATAAGTTATCAGTGTCTGGCATTCACACTGAGCGACTGTTGCAGCAAAGGAGTCCGCAACAATATTCCTTGGCCTTCTACCATTGAGCTGCACCAAAAACAGTTTAAGATTATTATTTCAGCAGGCTTGGTGGTCTGAGTGTCAGCCTTGTCCTCATCTGCAAGCGAGCATCTATTTTGTGGATACAGGCTGGGCACTTCTGTGAATGTCTCTGGTCCAGTCAGAAGTCCATGCACATACTCAGGCTGCATCTGAATCTGTTGACTAGAGCTAGGTCTAAGTCTTCGCTCCATTGGAAAAGCGTGGAGACGCATAGACAATAGACCTAGCCTTAGCTCTGGAAGCTCGTTTCGGACACGGCCATATAATCAGTCCACACTCGGCACTACTCATATAAATACATTTCCCAATCAGTAACTACCAGTGACTGGCACAAGATGTGCTTGCTCATAGTTCTTCTGAGCTCTGTGGTGACTGGGGTGGTGGGCAAAGACACCTGTCCCTCCTCAGCTACTGCTTCTTGCCCACTGTCATGGCATTCTTGGAGGCACTCATGCTATCGCCCCACTGATGAGTCTGCTGACTGGGATCAGTCCAAGTTGGCTTGTCAGGCCATGGGAGGCAAGATGGCTGTTCCATATTCACTCGAGGAAAATGAGTTTATGATAAGGATAGCTCAAAGGGAGAATATTAAGGACTTCTGGATTGGATGCAATGATCGAGAAAGAGAAGGAACCT